AATTCTCAAGTTGTAAGGCTTCTATTTCTCTTTAAATAACATAAAGTGAAACTTGAGTATATGATAAATTAGAATGGGAAGAAGCTAGAGATTTATCCTTCCTTAAGAAACCCATCACTAAAAGAGTTAATTGGCCAACAAGAGAGCTAGGGAGATTGAATAGACGTAAGCATCACCTGCCCTAGTAAGAGAAGCAAAAGCTTTCTATATTTCTTACAGATATGTATATCGTTGGAACATCAGGCTATAAACACTTTTCTCCAGTCGTTATTTCTCTTCGTGTTATTTGTCAAACCAGAGAGCGTCCCAATGACCAACCCTACCAATTGCCAGAGTAGCAGATGCACACCTAATATAATACGCCAGAGTCAAAAGTTCTTCCTCAATGGAACACCCAATCAGATTGGCTAAATAGGAAAAAAATTCTTTGAATGGAGACGCTTTATATTCTTTAGAAGGGAGAGGACTTGAACCCGTGAACCGTGCAATATCCAGAAGACCCAATGCATGCAACGGCCGCTAAGGAGCATTCAAATCATCATCATTCCCAAAAAGCTCTAAAGGCGAAGTAGCACTTAACCCCGAAGAGTTAAAGGGTCGCTAGAGTTAGTGTTGGCATATTCCCCTCTTAAAGGACAGAGCGTATCCTCATCTTTCATTGAATCTGCAGACAATTATGAACAAAGTTAGCACATTATAAACAAGCGGATTGATGACGAAAAAACCATGGGCATCTAGAATGTACCAAAATAATCTTCCTTTCTTCCCTCATATGGGCATCCATGAGTAGGTCGGTGTCAATGAGTCATTTAAAGGGCTTACATGAAGCCTCATCCAGGGGAATAATGCCCCTAAGGTAAACCAGATCTTTGACGAAACTTGTCAGCCTCTTCTTCAGATACAAATTTTCTTGGGAAAGGTCATCTCCTTTATAAACATAAAACTTATTTCCCATCAGAAAATGACCCTCATTCCACTACTTGGGAAATAAGCTGGTGCCAAAACCATAAACTGTTTTAAAAATTCATACAATTTTAAGCAGTTTTCAAAAATAAGCCAAAACCACAGACTGTTAGCACCAAGTGGATCAAGCTGTGGCCCCACACCTGAGTCGTAGATACACGTTGAACTTTGAAGAGGTGAAAGAAAAAGGTTAAATAGAGTTTCTCATTTAAATGTTCCCACCAATATTGGAAGGCTTTTATATATGCCCAACTCACAGGGTGCAGATGTGATGGGGCAACCATCAAATGGTTAAGAACTTCTATTTCAAAGCCATGATCGAGAAAACATACTTAAAGAAAGGGATGTCATAATCACCATACTCGATACAAATTATATCATTTTCACTAGGAGTCAAAACACCCTAGTCTGAAGATGGATAATCGTCCAAAAAAGCTCAATCAAGACTACCCTCTCGAGCAAAGATGTATATGGCTGAGGATGAAACCGAGTCTATCCAAGAAGTACATGTATTTTTATTTTGATTTTCGATTCATGATAAATATTGTTTTCTTAAACCACAAGAAATAAAGGTGTTATAGAAAGCAGACGAAAATGAAGCAGAAAAGACATCTCAAATAAATGTGAAAGTAACTCCTTAAGAATCATATAATGACTTGGTAAATGAAGTAAACTCTATCAACATTTCACATCACTTCTGCAAAACGCTCAAGTGTTATAAATCCCAAAGTTTATTATGAGAGTACATCTGAAAAGACATATGAAGAATGAGGTACATTAAAGGCGGAAATTCCCAAGAAGCAGTAACATCCTCTCTTAACTTTCTAGAGCAGCTAAAGAAATGGTCGGCAGACGAGGCAAATACGACAAATCTTTGCTCTGTTATATATGAGCAAGAGTTTAGGAGTAATTATTTCAGACCGACCATAATGACCCTCGGCCAAAAATAATTTTCTAAATAAAATTATATTTAGAATCAAACACATTGTATATCTTAAATCAACAATATAGTAATAGCTTAGTTAACTATTACTTCCTTAATTTCATTTTTTTAAGGCTTAAATACTCTTTTAGTCCATTTATTTTTAAGTTTTAAGTTTTATTTTCCCTATTTTAAAAGTCGAGTTTTTTATCCCTAAACGTTATCTAATTTGAGATTTTCATAGACCTCACCAATTTTGTACAAGTGATCTTCTCATTAATGATGTGACAATGGAACAATTCAGCCACATCATTAAAAATATTTAAAAATTTATTATCTTTATTTTTTAAAATTATCTTTATTAATACTTTTAATAATTAAATTAATATTTTTTTAGAAAACTTATATGAATTTTATTACTAAAATATAGTATTTGAACCTAAAGCCCATGTTCAACTCAAGAGCAGTCCAATACTAAAGATTTAAAAAAAAAACACTAGTGTGAAAGAGTTTTTATAAACACTTCTATTTGCTTTAAATTTCGACGTAGGATTTCAAATGTTGGAGCAAATAGTATAATATCACTATGGCAGACATTGACAGCAGCACCACTCTTTTTCAACTACTCCCAATTATAGAGTATGCAATATCGTCACGCTACTAGTTCAATAAGGACAAGTCCTTTGTAAAGTGGTCCAAGAATCTCTTCGTCTTTATCATCATTATCGCCATTTCCTTTTTTCGATGTTTGATGTAAAATGTTCTTCTTATTCTGCGCTTTGAACTCTGGATCAGGTCCACTATATCCAATTGCCTTCATAATAGGTTGTTTCTTCTTCTTCTATCTGAAAATGAAACAGTTCATGCATAATGAGTACGCGGTCCCAAGCAATCATAAAGACATACTTTGAAGGCACCAAACCATAATGGGCAAAAGCCAATCAAAGTCTTAAAAAAAAAAACATGTCCTAGTACATAGTAACAGAGGAATCAAACAACATTAAATTTTAAACAATAAAAATTAAATTTTAAAATAGAGAGATTAAAATTTGAAAATAAAATAATTTTGAATTATGCTAACTTTTTATGAAAATATGTAATTTATTTCTCTTTATAAAATTATTGTAATTTATTTTCATTTATATAAATAATTATATTATCATGTATACTTTTTTCTTGTTTATAAATATTTTGAACCTGCGTGACTATTTATAAAAATATTTTTAATTTATTGTTGTTAAAAATTATTGTATCAATAGATGAATTTTTATAGTTTATACAAATATTTGTCACTTATTTTTATTGATAAAAATAATTATAAAATTAAATATTTGTCATATCATCTTAAATTTATTTATTTAATAGTGATAAATATGTGTCTCATATTTAATTATATTTATAAATAATATTGCTTATTAGTGATAAATGTTAAATTTATTATTTTAATATTTAATTAATTTGTTGTCAAGTAAAATAAATATTATATAAAAAAACAAATTTAAAAATTTTATTTTTTATTATATTATAAAATTTTATGGATAAAAAGATAATTTATTTTTATTATATTATAAAGATATAAGTAAAATTTTATTTTTTATTATAATAAAACGTTATAATAATCATAAGTGAATTTATTTTAACCTGCTGTCAAGTAAAATAAATATTGTAACTAATTAAAATAAATATTATATAGGTTTATTTATTTATTTAGAATTAATCTAAAATCATACCATTATTTAAATTATTCAATTTTTTTTAGTTTTACCTTAATATGTTTTTTTACAATATAGTATCTGAATCTTTCAATTATTTATTTTTAATTTATTATAAAAAGATTTTTTAGAATTAAAAATCAATTTTATTTTTTATTTTGTATTTTGGTTATTGTTTGAGTTGAGAAAATCTTTTTCAAAATTTAATCATTTATTATTTTAATTTGTGAATGGATTTATGTATCTTCATCAATGAGATTATATGCATCTATCTATTGAGAAATTATGATTAATATTGAAGAATAATAGTTCTAATAATCTATTCATTTTTGCTTTAATATAAATTTATTATTATGATAAAAAATTATAATATTAAATAATAATATAACATTTATCATTGTAGATATCAGTAGAGAAAGAAATAAAAAAAAAATTTAAGAATATCAAAAAATCAATTTCAATATTAAATAATAATTTAATATTTATTATTGTTAATATTAGTAGAAAATAAAAAATTAGATCTAAGAATATTGTAAGAGAGGACGAAAAAAAGAAGTGAGACAAATTGTTTTTTTTGTTGATTGCTTAGTTTTTCTTTTTAATAGCATTTACTTATTTATTTATTTTGATGACATTGTCTTTGTTTCAAGAAAGCCATTGTCTTTGTCTTTCCGGTCTTTGGCGTGGTATTCATTCCTTTAATAATGGTGTGGCTCAGGTTCTTTTTTGTGAGGTGTTGACAGCTAAAACTGAAAGATCATAAAACTACGTACCAACCAAGTTCTTACTTTATCAAATCTCAGTGTATATAACTAATAAAAATACAAAAAATGTTGGAACATACATACCACAAGTTGGAGATCTCATTGCCTTGACAGACTTCAAACCGAAAATTATGGAAGACTTAAATCGGCCTAGAAGATAATATCATATTGCTTATGTTTATGGCTCAAATGAAAGTACATCAAAATGCATTGACATGGAGATTAACTCTAATTACTTAAGGAGAAATAATACACCAAAGCTTTATCTATCTATCTTTTAAATATGACTACAAATATTTGTGTTTGAAAAACCTTGAACTCGGAGTTGAAAGGTGTAAACATGAATACTACAAAACAAAGAAATATTTTCAATATTATAAAAAATAATATAATTTCCAACTATTTAAAATTAAAATACAATACAATTACTGAATAAAAAAATCATCATAAATCAATAATATCCTTACCCCTATCCTTTTCCCCTTTTTAATTTTAAAATATTTTCACTAGATGATTGACACCTAATAATTTCATGAATCATAGCATAAGAAGATAATAAAATAGTAAATAAACTTATCCCTAAACAATACATTCCACATTTCATTTCATCACCCAAAAAACAAAACAACTTCCACACTTATGTCAAATTCAATTTCCGAATTTGCCACCACTCTTCTCCCACGGAGCACCGAAAACCCTCAACAGGACCCGATTCCACAAAATGGATCAATCTCCGGGGCAGTGTTCAACATCTCCACCACCATGGTCGGTGCCGGAATCATGGCGATTCCGGCGACCATGAAAGTCCTCGGCATAATTCCGGGGCTAATTGTGATCGTGTTTGTGGCGGTTATAACGGATTTAACGGTTGAGTTTATGTTGAGGTGTACGACTTCTGGTAAAGCGGTTACGTATGCGGGGATGGTGGGTGAGTCGTTTGGTTGGCGTGGATCTCTTGCTGTTAAGCTTTGTGTTATTACCACTAATCTTGGTGTTCTTATCGTTTTTTTCATTATTCTTGGTACGTTTTTTCTTAATCTTTAGTCTAAATTAAATTTGCATAAAGTTTCTACAATTTTTAATTTCTTTATACTTTTTCTCATATGATTGATTCTTAGATAGTGTAGAAGTTGATTTGTTTAACTGTAACATGTTATTTATCATATATTTATCTTTTTAGTCCGGAAAGATATATTGTTTTTTATTTTTAAACAAGGGATAGATTGACCGAGTACTAGGGGTACTCGAACCGATTACAAAAGACGGCACAAGCAGGAAACAAGGAAGAAATTTCAAACCAAACTAAACTTAAACAGCCCTTGAAGGGATCTTTACAAAAGTCATAGAAATTTATGTTGGAATAAGAAATTTTCTCTAAAATAGACCACCTCCACAGCTAAAGTTTTGTCGATCAAGTAACATCCGAAACAATACATTTACCTTCGTTGAAAATAATTTCGTTTCTCGTTTTCCAAAGAGTCGAAATGACTGCCAACCAAATGAAACATGCCCTCCCTTTCTTGACTTTAATGTTGTCGAATCTTCTGCACCATTCCAAGAAATTCTTCCAGCTTGGTTTGACAGAAGGGCAAGCAACTCCAAGCCATTTCTCCACTTCTATCCAAATTCTCTTCGAAATAGTACAAGAGAAAAACAAGTGATTGGTCGATTCTTCATCCTGCGAACAAAAAGTGCACAGAAAGTTGTTCTGCACCGCCGAAATCTTTCTCTTCCTCAGCTGGGCCTTCGACGGCAATCTGTCAAGGAAAACTCTCCAACCGAAAGATTTAATTCGGAAAGGAACCCACAATTTTCATCAGAGTTATTAATCCCGGATAGCGGAGCGGAGCGGCCGACCCCCGGGAATGGGAAAAGTGGGAATAGCGGGATCCCGGATAGCGGGATAACCTTTTATATACTAATAATTATATTATAATAATCTATAAAATAGGGCTTGCGAACGGCGGAGATGTGAGACAAAAGTAGAAGAAGATGAAACGGTGGAGATTGGAGAAGATGTACTTGTTGGAACGGTGTATGGTGCTGTTGCTGCCTTGCTGGAAGCCTGGAACGGTAGAGAAGATGCAGACTGCAGTTGTATGTTGCTGCCTTGCTGGAACTGGAACGGTGGAAGTGGAACAGTGGAGAAGAAGGGCACAAAAATTAGGGCAGAAGAAGAAAGTGAGAAAGTGAAACGAAGGAAAGAAAATATAATGCAAATCTGTTTTAAAAAGTATTTTAAAAGAGGGATAAAACAGAAATTTTGTCCAAAAAAAAAATTTAAAAAAAAAACCAGGCCCAAACCGCTCCGCCCGGGAGGCGCCCGCTATCCGCGACCCGGGATAGCGGCGATAGCGCCCGCTATCTTCTCTCCGCCACCGCACCCTTGTGCGCGCGCGGAAGGCCTCCGCTCCGCTCTGGAGCGCCGCTATAGCGGCCGCTACGGGCGCTATTAACAACTCTGATTTTCATAGAGATTCAAAGGCCTTTGCTTCTCCAGCCTGATCAAGCACACTGTCCTGGACTGAACAGAATCTGCCATACCCTCTTTGGCCGAGTAACCTTCTGCAGGATTCGGTTTCCAGCGAAACGCATCCTCCTCCACAGAGTTAAGCTGAATCTGTTGCAGCACAGTTAACAACAGCAGAACACGATTGCTCATGGCTTCGTCGAGATCCGATGGCAAACCGAAATTCCCCCAACTCCATTCGTTCCCTTGCCACTGCCCCAATTCCTCTATGTAACTGTCCTTCTTTGAGCTTAATAGAAACAGGTCCTGAAACAACGCACTGAAGTTGTTGTTATTGATCCAATGTGCCGTCCAGAACGGGATCCTCCGCCCCTTTGTTGATATGTTACCCACAAGATCACAAACAGTCCCAGAACTATTTTTGAAGACAGAAGTTAAATCTTTCCACCAGTTGGAGCCTGGTTTACGGGATCTGGAACTTTCGTTAGACAGAACAAAATGATTGATGTTACCGTATCTAGCCGTCAAAATTCTCTTTCAAATCGACTCTTTCTCTTCGATAATTCTCCACCTCCACTTATACAACAAAGCAATGTTAAATTCTTCAATCCTTTTAATTCCGAGACCGCCTAAGTTAAACGGTTTGCAAATATTCTTCCATCCTACCCAATGTATTTTTCTTTTGTTTTCCTTGTTTCCCCAAAGGAACCTTTGTTGAATCCTTTCGATCTCTCTCCAAACCTTCACAGGAGCTTTGTAAAAAAAAAGCAGAAAAATTGACAAGCCGCTAAGAACCTACTTAATCAGAGTGACCCTTCCTCCTATAGACAGAACCCTCCCTTTCCAACCTGTTAATTTGGCTTTGATTTTAACCAATAAAGGCTTCCACATCTTCAACCTTCTAGGGTTAGAGCCAATAGGAATGCCGAGAAACTTGAACTCCTTCTCTTCAGACCTACAAGTCAAGAAATTAGCAGCCGCCGACAAAAAGGGAGAATTGATATTTATCCCTATCACTCTACTTTTCTGGAAGTTGACTCCTAAACCAGACACACCTCAAAATCTCTCAGGACCGATTAATTTTTATTTTATTTTAACATTTTAAATGAGTAATTTGTCGTATGTTTAAAATAATTTTGATCAAATTAATTTTTTTTGAGATTTAAAATTATAATTTAGATTTTTCTGGTCAAATAGTTAATGGCTAAAATTCCCCCTTAAAGATAAATAAGGTGAGATGTCGCGAGTTTGAACTCATGTCTCTGCATCTAATCTTCTTGCATAACTACCAACCGAGCTGTTTAACAGGATGATAATTTAATTTTATATTATATCAAACACTTATATATATATATATATATATATATATATATATATATATATATATATATATATATATATATATATATATATATATATATATATATATATATATATATATATATATATATATATATATATATATATATATATATATATATATATATATATATATATATATATATATATATATATATATAAAGACTAATCCTGTAGTCTTAAATCTTAGTGGTTTGTAATCTTATTTGTCATGAGGATGTTATCATGAATGGTAAGAATAAACTAGAGATAAGATTAAAAATAATATTAGAGAGGGGTGTGATAAAACCTATAATAAAAAAGATAGTAGAAAATAAACTTTGGTGGATATGCAACATAATTGCACTATTCATAAGGACACTTGACTAAACTATGTAAACAAATTTGGCATGCATTGTCTTGCGAATGATAGTCTATTTTCTCTTTTGTTACTGCTTGTTATTCTAACAAACATAAATTTGATTGATTCAAATGACTTTTCTTTTAATAGGAGATGTTCTTTGTGGAAATGAGTACGAAGGTACCATACATTTAGGTATTCTACAACAATGGTTTGGCATCCACTGGTGGACGTGTCGCACTTTTGCTCTGCTGGTTGTCGCACTTGTCATAATGCTCCCCCTAGTTATGTTACGCCGTGTAGGTACTACTAAAATGTTGAGATACCCTTGCATTCATGTCGTCATTAGATCAGTAATCATATTCAACGGCAACTGATGTGCTGACTGCGTGAATTCGGGGTATCCAGATTGCAGAATTCACAATTCAAATTAAAACCTTCCTATTATCTTAATCAAGTACATTGATTCAGCTAATGGAGAATTTTTATTGCTTTGTTCATATTTGCAGATTCACTCAAGTATAGTTCTGCATTATCGATCCTTTTAGCGTTGGTTTTTGTTGTAATATGCTCATCGATGGCAGTTACTGCATTATCGTCCGGTAAAACTCAGTCGGTGAGACTATTTCCCGATTTCTCTCGAGTCACTGCCCTTGATCTTTTCACCACTGTCCCTATTTTTGTAACAGGCTTCGGATTCCATGTCAATGGTTAGTTTCATCAAAATTTAACATTAATGGTTAATATAATTTTATGTCACCAATTTTATTCATCATTTTACATTTGATTGATTGTTGCAGTTCATCCCATTAGAGCAGAGCTTGTAAAACCGTCAGACATGAGTTCGGCCGTGCGAATTTCATTGTTAATCTCTGTTTCCATTTACTTTGCTATTGGATTCTTCGGATACCTATTGTTTGGCGACTCCATAATGCCGGACGTGTTGGTAAACTTCGACCAGAACTCCGATTCAAGTTTCGGTCGATTGCTAGACAACATTATTCGGATAAGCTACGCTCTCCATCTTGCACTTGTATTCCCCATGTTGAACTATTCTTTGAGGGCCAATATAGATGAACTACTATTCTCAAATAAAAATAAGCCTCCTTTGGCTTTGGACACTCCAAGATTTGTGCGAATCACTCTTGTTTTGTTAGCATTCACATATTTGGTGGCTGTGGCTATTCCAAATGTTTGGTACTTTTTTCAGTTCTTGGGATCTACTACCATTGTTTGCCTCTCGTTCATCTTCCCTGCTGCAATCATACTAAGGTATTCCATACATTTGTCACCTCTTCTTATAACATACTTTTTCAATTGGTTAGACCGTGGTTGTATCGACTGTGTCTGCCCCGCTCCACCCTTTTTTTTTGGCGTGGACATTAACATAATTTTTCAAAGTTTTAACCTTTAAAAGGGCAATGTCAGCGGGGCAGACCAAAGTTTTAGGCCCACACTCTCAACAATGCACGTTCCGGCCCGTTTTTTGGGTTTTTGCAGAGCGGACTAAACGAAGCAGACATGCTTGTTTGTCATCTCTAACCATGATTGAATCAGCTGTAATTTCTCTTACTAGATGTTTGATTCCTAACTCCTTCCAACTCTTTTTGGCACAGGGATATGCATGGTATATCAAAAACAAGAGATAAAGTAATGGCAATAGTGGTGATAATTTTGGCTGTTGCGACAAGTGGAATTGCTATATGGACCAATTTGAATGTTATTAGTTAACCATAATGTTACCACACCAATGGATCATTTTCGAGTTTGAGAGCATCATGATTCAGTTCTCACCAAAAGAGTGATTCTGCTTATACAAAGATCTGAATAATACTTGTATGTGATGAAGACCCAAGTTATGCAAATAGTGTATCAGTTTATTTTGCATCCTTAAATGTCCTATTCTTCCAACTCATATGTACTTGCCAAAACCGTGAGTTTAAAACTCGGGGGAATTTATGTTAACTTTTCCCCCAATTGTACCATCATTATTCATACGGAAATATTAGACTCCGTTTGCATTGAAAACAATTTTTTATTTATTTATAAAATTTATGTTCATTTTAATTTATTATGATTTATTAATAAGACGATGTAAAAACAATTAGAGATAGATAAAAATTTAAAATAAACATAAGAAAAATAATTAAAAAACATTTTAAGATTTTTTTTGTTGATTACAAAAAAAATTCAATTGTAAACACAATTTATGTTTTGGTGAGTGTTCTTTTAGTAAAAATGTTTAGGATATGAACATAAAGTTTGACATGATTACAAGATAGAAAGTAGTATTTGATTGTTTGCAAGCACCACATGCTCAAAATTTTATCTTTGTTATCTCTATTGACGATTTAGGCCAACATACACTCATACTATCCTTAAATACAACCTTATGATTTCTTTATTTTCTATTGATGAGGTTTTCCTTGTTTATCGTAAGGTGTGTTTGAATATATTTGGGGATCACATTATTCATTACAAAGAGCTTATAGGATTCAAATACCGACATGATTTTGTTTGGAATGTCATATTTGATATATTTAGGCGTGTATGAGTATTTGTGAAGAAAAAAACGCTTGTTAATTTCTTGATTGAGTTTTCTTCATTGGTGGGACTGAGGAAATGAGGTTTTATTATGAGACAAATAGCTCTTAAAGTTACTTCAAGTAAAGTGGTCAAGTATGAGAAAGTGTTATGATAATCAACATACTTTCATACCATTTGTTCCTAACACTTTTGAATTTTTAGTCCTAGAAATCGTAGATCTTTTACAAAGAGTGCAAAGGTTCATGCATAGCAATGTTGTGTCAATTAGGACAATACATATAATTTTTAAAAAGATTGATTTTCCATTCAAAAAAAATAGTGACACGATTTGTTATCCGTTTTTCTACTACTTATGTATAATCTTGATTATATTAATTAAAAACTTGATTATTATGGAGCAAATATTAGATTGGATGGATATTTCAGATATTAAAAGAGATCCCAATAATCAAATATTATCAAGAGCAATTGATGCAATATAAAATAAAAAAATGATTCTTATAGTTGATTTTTGAATATTTTTACCAATGATTAAGGTGGCTCCAGACTACGTAAAACACATATTTTTATTAGAGTTCAACAAAAGGTAATTTTATAAAAGGGACAATTTTATTATCTATCACAAAAGATTGAATATTATACCTTCAACCAATCAGTTATGATATTTTATTTTATTTTATTATCTTTAATTATTTATTTAATAATTTAAATTTTGAAGATTTTCAATGCACTTTATTCTATGATAACTCCACCCAACTTGTTATCCGTTTTTGTACTACTTATGTATAATCTTGATTATATTAATTAAAAACATGTTAAAATGGACAAGTGTCGTACACATTTGGATATTATGAATATTGGAAGTAGTAGCAGGCAAATAAGCTTTATTTCGTAGATGTAAAGAGAATGAGTGAGTTAGTAATCACATGATTAATGATGAATGTGTTGAGAATAATAAGTATGAGTAGTGTGGAAAAGTTTCACATTGATTATAAATGTGAAGACTTTAGCATTTATAAGTGGGAGAATTCACACACCTATCACTTTAGAATTTTAGGTGAATATGAAGTGTGTCTCTCACAAATGTTTTGCTCAAAAGAAAAAAGTTCCAAAGTGAAAAATTCTCTCTCGTGTTGACTCCCCGAATAACCCCAACAGTGGAATCAGAGCTTGGTTCGAGTGAAGAGACCAGTTCACTTGTATCGAAATCTCTATTGGGTATGAGGTGGTCCGTTGAAAAGTGTCAATGACGATACAAGTGTAAAGAGATTCCACTTGAGAGGGAGCATTGTGGATAGATTTACACGTGAGGGGAAATGTTGATAATAACAAGTGTGAGTAGTGTGGGAAAGTCTCACATTAGTTAGAAATATGAAGACTTGAGTATTTATAAGTGGGAGAACTCACATACTTATCAACTCAAGATTTTTGGTGAGTATGTGGTGTGTCTCTCACAAAGGTGTGTTGCTCAAAAGAAAAAAAATACCTAAGTAAAAAATGCTTCCTCGTGTGACCTCCGAATAGCCCCCAAAAAATGTACATGTACACACGATTGTACCATTCTTTGTCAATAAATGCATATTAAAGCCATGTAACAAAGTCAAGGATATCCCTATACATTTTTATTTAAGACTTATCAAACATATGATATCCTAACACAAAAAGTGTCATGAAACTAAAAGAGAATGAGAAAAATTTACATAACAATCAATTTAGAAATAAAGACTCCAAATACAATCATTTAACAAAAAAAAGATAAATTTGAGTAAGAACTCGCTCCTAAAGTATCAAATTATGACTAGATCACACTCATGCTAGCAAGTGTATCTGCACAAGTATTCAACTCACGATAAATATAACAAACCCACACCTCCCAATCCAGTTTGAGCAATTGTTGAATTTTTGTATCAATCACATTTCAATTATGCTAACTTATCCAGAATCTAAAATATTCTGAACAATCACTTTAGAATCTATATGAAGCTTGATAGTTTGAAACTCAAACTATTTAGCTAATCTTAATCCTTCTAGCACACTTCAAAATTCAACAATATATACACTACAAAAAATCAAATATCTTGTGAAGACTCCAAACCACTCACCCGTACAACCTCATAAAAGACCACCACATCCAACTATCAAGTTATTCTTAGTAGCTCTATCCATGTTCAATCTCATCCAACTTGAAGGAGAAGGAGTCCACCTTATTTTATTAGGCTCTCGAGCCAACTCCATCTTACTACAATGCAGCTTCGTTGTAAAAAACAACTCATGAGCAACTTTAGTAACACGCTACCACAAAATTCTAGGTCTAAAAAAGTTCTCATCATGTTGTTCATTTTTCCTTCACATCTAAAGTGCATGACAAGAGGTTTCCCAAAGTTACGACCACGACGAGTCTCCACTAACACCAAAATCCAAATGAAAATTAGTATCCACCCACTCTTTAATATTACTAGTGAAAAAAGAGCCCTTCATATCCAACTTAACCACATTAGTCCAAATAGCAAAAGTCAAAGGACAGTCACGTAAGACATGTATAATAGATTCCACTTTTGTTTCATAGTGACTACAAAAGGGCCTTCTAGTTGCATTTTATTTTTTCTCTTATTGGTCATTTTACTACCATGATAGAACAAGGTTTTCGATACACGTATACAATAATACTCTTAAATTTTATCACTTGGAGTGAATAACTACTTATTCTAAAATAATGAATCAAGAAAGTTTTAAGATTTCAAAATTTTACAAAAAAGATTGATACCTTCAATCCATTTTCTCTATAGTGACTCTAAGTACAATCTCTCTTCCTCCCAAAGATAATTTCGTTTGTGAGTATCGCTAGGCTCCATTCTAGTGTTTCATCCTAGAATTTGTGGTTGTTTCATCATGGTTCACGCTTGATCAGTTTATTTTCTTTTGTTGTTTGACTACTCCATCAAGATCTTATGCATTTATCTTCAACATACTTTATCATTCTCTAACCCTATGAGGCTACCAACTCATATTCTCAACTAGTCTTTTCCCTTTGTGGTTATCAGTTCCTGTTCTCAACACGTCTTTGCTTTTCATTATGCCATGTAACAAGCTACAAGAATAAACAATAGAAAATCAAGGAATCCCTAATAAAAGGAAGATATTAAGTTCGAATGTTGATATGGTGTGTGGGAACCAATCTTCAAAACTGCAAATTCTAGTAATATTTCTAGAAGACTCGTGTAACAAGTCTCCGAATTATCACTTGCAAGGAAAAATAGTACCAGAAAATAGTCAATTTCAACAAAAACAAAATCCCAATCAAGATATGGAAGAAGACACGAGCTTCTATGTTTGAGATGATAATGACATTCAAGAAACTTTTAAGGATAATCAAAATGCCATAATAGGTAAATTTCTTATCTGAAAAACCTATACACAAAATATCCCTCAACTCTAGATTAGCCAGAATATGGTGTGATCCGACAGGTATAAAAATTGTGGAACTTGACCAAATTTTATACTGAATATCAGCAGATAACCCTTTAGATATCAAACACATTCTAAAGGGAAGCCGTAACACCCCGTTTGATTAGAATTATTTTTTAATTAGATAATAAGATGATGAGGTGTAGTTAGGTGGGTGTATGACTAAATGCGTAGAAGTATGGGGGCGTGTGGAATAATATTTATTATTATTATTATTATTATTATTATTATTATTATTATATTATTATTATTAGGATTATTATTATTTTATAATAATAATTAAATAATTATTATTTGGTTAGTTATATTATTATTAGACTATATTAGAGTGAGAAGAAGGTAAGTAGAGTCAATACGTGAAATAGAACAAAAACATAGAAGGTAGAAGAAGAGAAGAGCACTAGGAAGCTAGGGCAAATGAGTTCACCGTAGAGATCAAGAATCAACCAAGAACCCAAGATATGAGTGGGGTTATGACTCTCTAATAGATGGAATAATTGTGGGTAGATGAAGGTTTGAATGTAGGGTTTTTGGTGTAGGTTAATTGTTAGATTATTTGTTGAAATTGCTTATAATTGATAAAATTGGTGTGTTGTTTGTGTTAGATTGGTGGTATATGATGTGTGTTGATGATTTAAAATAATTGATGTATTTGATCTTTCATAAAAAGAGGTTTTTGGGTGAGAAGATGGGATTTTGTAGCAGAAAAATCAAGTTTT